TTATTTTTTGTAAGAAGTGAATTTTTTGTAGTGATAAAAAAGATATATGTTAGAAGTTTTAATTTATAATATTTTATTATTTATTTTTTTATCTTTTATTTCCTTATACATTTTATTTAAATAATCAATAAATTAAAAAAGATGAGATGGACTACTACTTTCATTTTCTAATTCTAAAATATAGAACTTGATCAAATAAAATAATAAACATAAGCAAACGAATCAAACCAAACTAAATTAAACATACGGAGTAATACTTTTTTACTTTGGTAAACCGAACTTCAAACCGAACCGAAACCGAACCGAAATCAAACCGAAACACAAATGGTTTTAGTTTGGTACAAATTCTCCCAACCCGAATAAACCGAAACCAAACCGAAACCGAAGAAAACCGAACCGTAAACCGAATTGCCCACCCCTAATTTTAATCCTCGTGTCAGTTGTACTTCAGGACATAAAAATGGGACGAGAGGATGAAGTAGTATTAATCCATAGAGTTTTTCTTCTTTTGATTTGTTCGTTCTCTTGCTCATATTCTTTGATCATATTCTTTTTATTGTTTCATTTTATGGAAATATATAACATTGGTAAAATTCATTTTCTTACGCATGAACCCGAAATGGTATGAAAATAGTCAATCAGATGGTCAGTATACTACTCCCTTCGTCCCATCTAAAGGTTCTCGTCCACTATTCTCCTGTCAACGTGCATTGTTCTTAATCTTTTACTTTATATATCCAACTTTTATCAAATTTAATTTATTTTGATCATGTTTTATAGAATTTTTAATGTAGTTTCTAAATATGTAAATTTTATTTACTAAAAATAATTCTACTAATGACAGAGACCAGTTAGCTTTATGGTCAGTCAAACATCGTAAACCGTGTGAGAACCTTTAAGTGGGACGGAGGCAATACAAATTTTCATTTGTGAGAGAAGTCAGAGAACGCCACCATGACTGCTAAATCTTCAAATTTTCAAACTAATTTTTTATTTTGCGTGAATTGTGTGATGATCAAATATTAAAAACATGCGCGTTTTCATTTGAATTAGTGAATGCGCTAAAGATGACTACTTTACCGATTTTGACATAATTATTCACATTTTTATTAGAGAAATAATATACATTTAAAAAAAATGTAGAGGCCGTGTGGCAACACTGTTTTTCGGCTTATCGGCTTATCAGCTAACTTTTTCACCAAACACGTCATTTTTGCTTTCGCGCGCTGAATTGTGTAATAACCAGAAAAAGTAAGGTTGAAGTTACTTTTATGGCTGTATTGGTTAAAGTTATTGTAGATGACCATTTAGCTATTTTTACATACGGAATATATTTTTCTTTACCTTATTAACAAAACACTAGTATATTTTAAAAAGAATTTTTTCTTAAATCAGCAGAATGAGCCAATGCAGACACTTCAGCTAGAACTTCATAAATTTCAACAGAATCAGTCAAAACAGCCAATTTTTGTGTTACCAAATAGGCTTGTAATATACTAACGCAGCAGATTCCGCCCATTTAACGGGTTCCGTTTGGATTTCACCTGTTTCAAATGATTCAGTCCATTTTATCTATCTGAGTGTCATTAAAGTATTAAACCATCTCTACTTAACTTTGATGGGTCTTACTTAAAACCAAACCATAATGATTTGGTGAGTTGTGGGGGTAAACGTGGCCACGCACCGACGCACGTATATATAATTAGTTAGTGGTGCGTGGGTATAGTACGTCAACAGCTGGTGGTGGTGTCGCAAAGGGGGGTGGCGATACGGCAGCTGCGGATACGCTTTGATTCGATCCACCTTTCCTGCTGGGTAATGCGTAACCCACCTGACGCAAAATATTTCTTCAGATTTCTGTTTTGTTTTTTGCATCTCAAGTAAAGTAAATTAAATGATACTAATATTAATAGCAACAATAGTTAAAGATCAAAGCGATAAAAACAAAAACGAGTAAAGGGTCAGTTTGGTCCTCGAAGTTGCAAAAAAATGGTCAAATAAGTCCTTATATAGAAGATTTTGTCCGGACGTGCCATTTGAGGTGGCTCCCGGTAGAACTTTTTGATGAATTTTTTTGAGCATCTTATTCATTAAGTCTAGTTTACTCATACCAAATTTCAGCTAAAAATTCAATCGGGGAGACATTCAAATGAATTCTTGAAGATAATTGCGCTTTTAATGGCATAGTTATCTTCAAGAATTCATTTGAATGTCTTCCCGATTGAATTTTTATCTGAAATTTGGTATGAGTAAACTAGACTTAATGAATAAGATGCTCAAAAAACTTTATCAAAAAATTCCACCGGGAGCCACCTCAAATGACACGTCCGGATAGAATCTTCTATATAAGGACTTATTTGACCCCTTTTTTGCAACTTCGAGGACCACACTGACCCTTATCCCAAACAAAAACTATATGTCTATATCATACTCATCCTCATCCAGTAATGATGATAATAATAAATGAAATTTCTATATATAGATGAAAATAAAAAAATAAAAAAGGTGGCCTTGCCGAGTAGGGATAAAGAAAATTCTAGTTTTAACAATGCTTTGAGAAAATATGTGCTGTATAATAATAATAATTTAAAGATCATTATATTTAGGAGTACTTTAAGCTAAGGAGCCATGGATGATTGGTTTATGGAATTATATATTATATATACAAAGTATAATTAAGTAACTTGACAACACAATTACACAAATATATATGCCTCTTATGTTTTATACTGGAATTTATTACCAACATAAACAATAAGTGACCTTGACATTATCAAGTTAATCGAAATGATCAATTAACTTTAATTAATTACTTTTCTTGTTCAAGTCATTTTTTTTTTATTCTGTCATCACGAGTAGCGTTTTTTTTAATATATCAAATTTACTTTTTGCGGTTTTAGCATCACATGCAGTTACGTTTCGAATATACTTCGTATAAATCATAATAACAATAAATATTAGCAAAAAAGAGATAATTCTATCTCAATATTCATCAAACTTTAAAAACGCAAACTATACAACAATTTGGAAGATTAAATATAATGAATGACATTAACATTTAACATGACAGATACTATGAGAAAAGAGAAAAGAACATCAAAAAAAATATAATGAATGGCAAGTTCCCTTTAGCTATGGCTGTATGCAGGGCCGTTTTTTAGGGGGTTCAATAGGTTATCCGGAACAGGGCCCCCGAATTTATGGGGCCCCAAATTTTTAAATTTCTTTTAGTATTATATAGTACGGAGTAATATTATATATTAATATTAATCAGTAAAATACAATTAGTAAGGAAGAAAAATATAGATGCATGATTTTTTCGTTGGTCCTTTTACTCTTTTTAGTTCTTTTTAATGAGTATTCAATTTATTTGAGCATAAGTATTTAGTTTGATATTTAAAAAAAAAAGAATATTAATTTGGGGCCTCTGTTTTATATTTAGAACCGGGGCCTCCAAATTCATTAGACGGCCCTGGCTGTATGGCTTGACTACTTGACCTCAGGTCAGTCAACGCTGATCTTCGGGTCCCCAGGAACATAAGGGTGTTTGTTTATTTCAGTTTATTTGGCGGGTGTTTTCAAAGTTTTGACATGTTTCAATAAATTTTGATCGAACATACTTTTATATATATTTTAACCATACTATGTTCAACATTAGTAAATAAATTATAGACATTCCTTTAATTAGTTGCTTGTATATATATGCCCATGCAATTGATTTAAAAAATATCAGTACGAATGGTACGATAAGAGTTTCCCAACTTTGATATCTTTTGGTGGGGATGTACATCTCTGTTTATTTTGGCCAAGCCAAATTAAAGTATACCCAAACCTATTAACCTAATCATGTGCGACTTAATTTGAATTTGGCAGTATTTAGTATTAAAAAATATTAAGTTAGGAATGGAGAGAGTATTTTGATATATGACCTACCTATGTTGTCATAAATGTTACTACGTATAATTTTTTTATTTTAAAAAAATTATATATCATGAGTTTTATTAAAAATTACTTTCTAAAACGCAAAAACGTCGAAAATTCAAAACGCAAGCAATAAGTACTTTTTGAAGCTCTTATCACTTCAAATATCAAGTCCAAACTTATAATTAATTTATTCAACACTTAATAGAATGAAAGAATTTTTCAATTTTGTTTGTAAATAAAATTTGAAAATCGTTGGCAATAAAAGTTGGGTCATCATAGTAGATCGAATAAGACGTCTAGTTCAAGTTCTTCAAAATGTTAAAAAACATATTGAATATGCAAGTACAAATATAAACATCATTACATTTCAAGTCCTAGGAATATTATTTTTATACTAAATCTCACAATTATTAAAATCATCTTGGAAATTAAAAAAGAAAAAATATATTGAACCAGCACAAATTTATTTGGGTTACTTTTATAATTATGAAATTTCCGTTATGGAACAAAATATGATTTGTAACAAAATGAGGTTAATGTATTCATCCTCATCCGTTTCCATAAATTAAATTTGAATTGTTGTCTGACTAAATATCATCGATTATATTATTATTTACTACGTAGTATTATTATTATTTCTACCATTGATGTTATTATTATTGTTATTATTAATATTATAATTATTATTGATATTATTACATACTAGTTATACTTTCAATTTTTTTTATTTTATTAATAACGGTTCCGTAGACAAATTTTTTGTAGGAACCAGGAACCGAATCGTTAACAAAGGATAGGAACCGAACCGTTAACAATTTATAATTCATGTATAGGAACCGAACCGAACCGGATTTTAACGGTTCAGTTCCAATGGTTCTCCGGTTCTTGGTTCCAAAGTCTCACCCCTACACAGTGGTACATGTAAACGACTTTTCATTAGAAATTAGAGTAATAGAAATTGCTCTTGAACCAAAACATACACAAAGTTCACAAATAAGACTAGGTATATTTTATTTCCGAAAATAGGACTTATTTTAGTCCCAATAAAAGAATAAATGATTAAACAAGAGAAGAGAGAACTTGAAAGTTTACAACCAAGTATGATTCAAGAATTTCCTTTAATACAAGTATACAACCCCGCCACCATGGCGATCGAGGTAAACAATAACACCACAAGCAACTCACATTGAGTTTGCATTATTTCAATCTTAATTTATTTAGATGTAGGTACACATTAAAATTAAATAAGCGCATATATGATCTAGCTACTCTTTGGAGTTGGCTTAGGTGCTGACTTGGGTGATGGATGTGGTGGCAATTATGCAAGCCTTCGTCCAAGCTTTGGTGTTGGCGGTGGGAGCTTTGGTGCTGGTGGGGGTGTATGCAACGGTGCCCTTGGTGAGGGTGCTGGTCGATGTGGAGCCAATTTCATTGTATGAGTTGGCTTGGATGGTGCAGGCGCCGGAGCTTTCGACGCATCTGTGTGTTTGGATGGTGCGGGCGTGGGAGTTTTCGATGCATGTGCCGACTTGGATGGTCCAGGTGCGGGTGCTTTTGATGCATGTGTCGGCTTGGATGGTGCGGGGGCGGGAGCTTTAGGTGCGTGTGTCGGCTTGGATGGTGCGGGGGCGGGAGCTTTCGGTGCATGAGTCGGCTTGGATGGTGCGGGTGCAGGAGCTTTTGGGATGTGCGTCGGCTTAGAAGGTGCGGGTGCAGGAGCTTTTGATGCATGTGTCGGCTTGGAAGGCACGGGCGCGGGAGCTTTCGGTGCATGAGTCGGTTTGGATGGTGCGGGCGCGGGAGCTTTCGGTGCATGAGTCGGCTTGGATGGTGCGGGCGCGGGAGGTTTCGATGAATGCGTCGGCTTGGAAGGCGCTGGCGCGGGAGGATGCGGCGACTTCGGTGGAGGCGCCATTGGCTTCAGTATGGATGCTGATATATCATTATCATCATAGGGCATAAATTCAATTGAGGGATCTGCTGATAAAAGAGTGAAGATCATCAATGACACTAGAAAAGTTACACTAATGTGCTGATTTAAAGGTCCCATGCTTGATTAACACCTGATGATGTTATTCTTTCTAATTATGTGAGAATTGTCTCTTGTTGTTTTTAGGATATATTGCATGCATGCAATGACGTTGTACATATGATTGCCCTGGCTTCATGTCATTTTATAGTTTTCATTATTGGTCGTAGTTTGGTGCTGATGAACATGACCTTGATCTACCTTTTATGAAGGTTGCCAAATCTCCGCTTCTCATGCACCAAAATTCAGGTTCTTTTTGCACCTTGCCTACCGTTTCCAGGAGTCTTTGTTTCCCCACCGCAACTTTATGGTTATATACTCCACATTTAGCTACGTTCATGAGTTCATTTACTTTTGTCTATCCGAGTTGATTTCAATTTTTGTACATCATTAAAAGATAAAGGTGAATGCTATAGTATTGATTAAAAAAAAGTGAGAGTAAATTAAAGTATCATGCATTTGATTCGTCCAAAATTAATATGGAGTATTTCATCATTTATTTATATTCAAATTATTCAATTACAATATTCTAATTGATCAGTGTATACAAGCTATGTATCTTACCATAAAATTTGTCAAAACATGATCCATATTTTCCCTTTATGGCATAGCTAGCTAGCTAGTAATATTGTCGGGAGTTTAGATCTCATTTCATTTATTTTACTCCGTAACTCATTGGATTGAGGGAGTGTTTGCAATTACTTCACACTTTAAAAAAGTGATTTTTTAAAGTGATTTTGGGAAAAATGATTAATAGTAAAAGTTGGTAGTGTTTGAGAAAAAAGTGATTCTGAAAAAGTAAAAGTTGGTAGTGTTTGGTAAAATAAGTACTTTTGTGTAATAGAAAAAGTGAGAAGCAGTTTAAAGCACCCTTCTACCTGCTTCCAGCTTTTAGCTTTTACGTGATTAATTTACACAGAAGCTGTCATTTGAAAACACTCTTTTCAACTTTTTTAAGCCAAAAGCTTAAAAGCACTTTTTTTAAACAAACCCAAACACTCCTTGAGTTTCATTGTTATTTGACGCGTAATTTTTTGACAAGGGGTTGAGTATCTCTACATTATAAAAAAACACCGATTGATAGGGATTTCTCAAAATTGGTAGGGATATGCCATATTTGTGCAAAAAACAGTTTGAAACGAGCTATTTGACACAAATTATCGATATTCCCTGCCAAAATCCGTGTGAATCCCATTGTTTTTTGTAGTGCTAAAAGTGGGGGATTATATACCTAAAGAGTATATTGTTGCTAATGGGCAATCATGTTAATTAATTTTATGTGTTCGGCACTTCTAAAGTGTACACACTAATGATTTAAAAAATGGGTGTAAAATCTAATACTCATATCATCTATAAACATAGGGTATAAAGTTAAAATCTTCATTAAAATAACGTTTAAATTAAAATCACCCGAGCAAGGCTGATAAAAGCCGTTAGTTAGTTATTGGAATCAAAGAAACTTTGAGTTGGGTTAATAAAGAACAGGGCTGGGATTTTTTGGATATGGAGTCAGATTCTTCCGGGGCCATAACTGAGATTATAAGAGGCTCACGCTATAGTCATCATTGCCGGTGATATTCGAGAGATAAAAGAGGATTTTACTGGTATTTCTTTCTGTCATGTTAAACGATCAACAAAGTAGGCGGCTCATGAATTAGCTCAGGCTATGTGTGTATTTGTCTAATTGTATTTGGTGGAGTGGTTCTCCTCCTAGTTTAATTTCTCATGTATTGAACACTGATTTTATTAATGATAGTTAATCCCTTTCTCTTCAAAAAAAATACAGTTAGTTGTTGGTCATTGGTCATTCTCCCATGGCCTTGTATGCGAACAAATGAAGCGCACAAAAGTGCCAAACCTGTGCAATATGGCCTCCCCAGTCTAAGTAAAATCACCTTAATCTTAAGCGTCAGGATATTTGGTGCTGATATATACTCCCTCCGTCCTAAAAAAGTTGGCCAAAATTGACTTTCAGGTGGATTAATAAAGTAAAATATTGTGCGGTTGAAATTTGTGCAAAGGAGAGACAATTATTTTTAGCCACATATTTCTTACTTTAAATGAAAATTAAAAATCTTTTTGGGACATCCAAAAAAAGAAATTTGACAAACTTTTTCGGGACGGAGGGAGTATGTTTCTTTTAATTGAAGTTCTGATTATTTAATTTGGTTCTAAAGTAGTCTATTCGGAAATAAGTTATAATGTTTTCTTTGATAATCTTTTCGACTTATCACATAACAATTAATAAAAAAAATTATTAATCGCGTAATTTTTAATTTCGTGAGTTGTATTGTGTGATAAATGTATGGTCTCTGTGCATTTTATAACTATATAAATCTGGTCAGGTCTGATCTGATCTAGTGTGGTCTGGTCTGGTTTGGGACTGAAGACAATCCAAGTAAAAACATTCTTACATGTTTTTACTTGGACTGAAATTTGTTGGTCTGGTTTATTTTGAATTAGTCTGGTCTGATATGAATGATAAATGTCTAGTCTCTACGTATTTTATAATGAGAAAATAGTCATAATGGAACATGAAGTTGTATCGACGAGAGTAAGTAGTACTTCATCTTGTATTTTTATAGTCAATCAAGTACATTTTTTTCTATAAAAACGTTAAAATAATTGACCTGGCCAAGCTATCAGTTTGTAATATATCGTTGCAATCCAAGTCATCAAATAATAATTAATCTATAAAGTCTAATTTCCTCTGGTACACTTGTTTCCACCTTCAATCTTCATTTTATATTGGGAAAAGGTACAAATATAACCATGTAGTATGGGTGTGGGAACAGATATACCCCTGTTCTGTTTTTCGGAACAAATATAACCCTGAACTTTTAAAAAGGTGCAAAAATATCCCTCATGTTCTTATAAAGGGGCAATATAATCCTTATTGACTTTAAATTAATAAAATAAATTTCAAAAAACACCAAATATAAATTATAAATTCGAAATTTAAAAACAAAAAATTTAAAAAGTGTAGTAGTGTCTAATTCTCTCTTTTATAGTTTTTATATCACAATTTAATATTGTTTAAGCATGAAATATTATTTCAAAATTTTACTATATGTTTAACATTCTTTTGAAAAGGTGAAACATATTTTTTGCAATGTAGAGAAACATTAATTTTTTGCATTATTTTCACTATAAAATTACATATTTTGAAATAATATTTTATACTTGAAATATTAAATTGTGATGTAAAACAATAAAGGGAGAAATGGACACAATTACGTTTTTAAAATTTTATTTTTTAATTTTGATTTATTAATTTATTTTTGCTCTTTTTGAAATTTATTTGATTAATTTAAAGTCGATAAGGATTAATTTGCTCCTTTATAAAAAAATGAGGGATATTTTTGCACCTTTTTAAATGTTCAGGGGTATATTTGTTCCGAAAAATAGAACAGGGGGATATTTGTTTCTCCACCTATACTACAGGGGTATATATATATGTACCTTTTCCCTTTTATATTTATCACATTTGCTCTCCCTTCTCTCGCTCTTTATCTTATACGGAGTATTTCTCTCGTCTGCTCTCCAAGGGCTGAGCCAGTGCACTGGGCCGGATTGGAGCAGTACAAAGAATATTCTTGGGAAACAATTATACAAAATATTTACTTTAAAATTAAAGCATTTTTAAAATTTGAGGTGACTCAGGGCCTAGGTTGGGCCCCTCTAGCTCCGCCCCGTGTTGCTCCCCTTCTCTCTCTCTCTCTCTCTCTCTCTCTCTAACAATAGCTTTATTCATAAAATCAGAAAATTACAGTGCGAAAAGATAAATAAAGGAAAAAAATTACATAAAAGAAATGAAAAGTAAAGACAAAAACTAGACCCATTGGAAATCTCTAGTTTGTGATCTGGTCGTCATGCTATGCCGTCTTTTATTCTTCTGAGATTTCCTATAGATCTTGAGTTGCGTATTCAGGTTTTCTGTTGGCGGACAGTTTTCGGATGTGACCAGCTTTGATTTACAGCAAATCATCCTATTGAATTAGGAGTTCCTAATTTCTTCCTTGTTTGATAGAGGGGGACGACAATCACTTTCTGTTGCATGTCCTAGAAAGTCATTTGAAAAGAAAGAGTCATCGGAATGATCATAGCTGTCTGAGGCATCAGAGTAAGCCTGGAAGAGTGTGATTTGTGGTTGTTTCTCAAATGAGAGGAGTTGTTGCGTCTCGCCAAAGGCTCTCTGGACTTCATAATTAAAAATAAGTTTGGAGATTGTGATTTCCTCATAATCACCCGACTTGTCATGCTCCCAAAGCACCACTTCCTCCTCATGCTCTAAAACAGACAATTCAACAAAATTTAAAAGTAATGTCAAAAAATCATTGAGATTGGATTTGCGTGGGCCCATGGGGACTAAAATGGAGGTCCCTTTTTCCTTGGGGTAATTTGAGTTTGCACCCCATTTTATTGTCTAAATTGGACTTTGCACCTCATTTTTAAAACTCATTGTTTTTGCACCCCGATCCCGTATGAAAAGACAAAAATGCCCTCGATCATGAATATGTTGAAGGCCAACAAATTTGTTAATGGAGGGACAATTTTGTCTTTTCATATGGGGTTGGGGTGCAAAAACAAAGTTATTTAAACACGGGGTGCAAAGTCCAATTTGCAGAAAAAAATGGGGTGCAAACTCAAATTACCCCTTTTTCCTTTGCAATTTTCAGACAAGAGCCTGATTTGTTGAGTTCAGTAGAAACCGTGATACACCCGAATTTTCTGCTCTGCCTGTAGTTAACATTAGTCAAGCCTGTGATTTGCTGTATAAAACGATATATCTGTGGGGCAAGATCTAATTTGAAATTAATCCCCTTCTCTTTTGTCTTCCCTCCCTGCTATCCCATCGGCTTCTTATTTTATTAGTTATTGTCCATCTTTTTATAGCAAGAGAAGAAAAAAATAAAATAGAGCAAAAAGAAGAACCCGACAGGATATATAGCAGTGAGAGCAGCCCGGAGAAATATAAGATGTAGAGCAGAGAGAAGGAAGAGCAGACGAGAAAAATAAAAGATGAAGAGCGAAGGTGAAAACAAGTGGATTGGAGAAAAATAAAATTTATAGATTAATTACTTGATGATTTGGACTGCAACTGTATAATACAAACGGATAGTTTGGCCAGATCAGCCATTTTAACGTTCTGAAAG